CAGCCTCCGCAGCCCCCACCCCCACTCCGGACTCCCGGCTACACCCTCATCTCCATCTCGGCAGGGTGCTGGGCACAGTGCCCGACCTTCCGCCTCACCTCTCCTGTGCCCCTACCCTCGCCCAGACTCTCACTCCCAACGCTCTAGCGGGCCCCCAGTCTACGCGTGGGCCTCTGACCTTGTGGCTCTTCTGTAAAACCTGCCCCCTGGGGTCTTGCTGCCTCATGCCGGCCCCTGCGTTGCAACCCTCTCTGCTCGCATACCCACATGCAGACCTGCTATGATCCTGAGAGAGGTGGGATCCTGGCCTCCTCTGCTGGAGGGCAGCGAGGGGGCTGTGAAGGAAAGGCCAGGGCTTGCACCCCATTTGCATGTGAGGAAGCTGAGGCCCCAGACCTGTGCTGAGTCCAGGGAACTCACTAATGAGTCCAGAGGATGAGTGCCTGCCATCCTGTCTGTCACTGTCACCCTCCTGGTACCCTGTGCCTGGACCTCCCCAGAGTGCCCCCAGGTGGAACATCTGGAACCTTCAGTCCCTCAGAAGGGGACAGTCTGGCTTGTGGTCACCATCTTCCCAGGTAAGGATCCCTTGGAGGGAGATGGCCTGTCGCACCCTCCACAGGCAGAAAACCCTTCTTCCTCTCCAGCCCCTCACGTGCTCCTTGCTCTCTCCACTGGCCTGTGGGCTGGGGAGGGGAGCTGGTCCTGGAGCTCCCCCATCCCTGAATCACCCATACCTAACAGAGCAGTTTGCTCGCTAAGCGTAAAAGTCATATAAGCAGCACTGTTGCTCTGCCAAGTTCTGTGAACAAAGCCCATTTCTCCACCCTTCCCAGGACTGGGAACTCCCACTTGGTCCAGACCTGTGATGAGTATGGGGACACTTCACTGCTCTAACCCCTCATCCAAACCCTCAGGGCATTTAGAAATCAGAATTCTTCATCTATATCTTACATGACATCCGAATTCTTTGTATATATCATACATTATATGATACTTCTCTGGAACCTGAGGCTGCACGTCATATTCAACTACATTAAGATTTTTGTCATGGAGCATGACTATTCAAAGGATCTGGATTAAATGAAGACCGTAATAAAGCTCTGTACAGCAGTTCAGGTCCAGCTTTGCCACAGAGTTTTGAAAACCTTTACGTTTCAGAGCTTAGGAGAATTTGGAATTGTGGATAAAGGAACGAGGACAGGAGGGGATACTTGAAAGGCCAGGCAGGACTTCTGGGCCAGCAGATTCATAGGATGCGCTTCCAGTTCTGCCAGGTGGGACATTATAAGGACTTTTTCACTTTTTCCATCCTGGACACTGCCAATGGAATGGTCCAAACGAAACCCTGAAATGGCTCTTGTCCATCAAACAGCAGGTCAGGAAGGGGTGGGAGTGGCAGGGTGTGGCCTGGACACACCACCTTTACCTACTTATAGTCTTGAAGGAAACCCTAGCTTCCCTGAGTGGGCTCTGAATCGGCTTCCTCAGCAGGCAGAGTGCTGGCTGTGATACAGAGAGAAGTAAATAAAACGCTCCTGGGTGGGAAAAAAAATGCTACTTTTTAATTCATAAGGAAAAGAAGTTAATGAGTGAAAAAATAAGCTACACCCAGAAAATCTGTTCAACCAACTTGTGCTACAAATAGCTTGACGATTTTCATAAAAAAAAACAAAAAAACTTTTAGTTAAGAAATTCTCAAGAGGCCGCATTTAGCCCGTTGGTGTCTCTCCCCTCTCTGCATAGACTCGTGGGCGTCCGTGTGGACACACAGGACGGAGAAGGAAGGGGTTTGTGGGGAGATGACCTCGGAGTCAACCACCGTGATGGTGACAAAAAGACTAGTGGGTGGCAGGCAACACAGGTCTTGGGGTCCAGAGGTTTGCTTCCTCTGGAGCAGATATCAGGTGAAGCAAGGGACACTGATGATAAAGCTCTAGAAAATTCAGTCTATCCGAGGATGAGGCAGAGGCAGAGGCCACGCTGGGCGCAGTAAGTGAGACGCTGAGACCCCTCACAGAGGGATTGGAGGGAAGGGGCCTGCTGGTCATGCCGGCCCACGAAGGACAGACTACATCTTTGAGGAAAAGGCCACAATGAAAGGAGGCATGTCCCTTTATCTGGATAGAGGCACAACAAAGAAGAAACTTAGGTCAGCTCAAAATGCATTTAATCCACTTGAGAGAAATCTCCCTAACATGAAATGAAAACCTCGCCTGTATTCTTACACTGGGATAGTACATGGGGCCACAAACTCTGAGTGGCTAGGGACAATGACGTAATCCTGGTCCAAGCACTCTGGAAGCTGGGGGTTCGACGGGCAACATAGACTGAGACTAGACTTTCTCTTTGGGACTTCAGGCACCCCAGAAGCCAGGAGCCCTGAGATATCCCTTTCTGCTCTGACTGTCCCCTGGAGAAGCCCTGGTGGCAGAAAGACCCTCCTGGTGCCTGGTGGGTTGTGGAACCCTCCCTGGAGGAATGTCAGGAAAGGCTCAAAGTAGGCTCGAGGCTGTGAGTCATGTAGCCCACCCCAACTGGCTCCAAGGTGGGGCTTGGGTCCTCTAGGACAATAGTCCCCAACCTTTTTGGCACCAAGGACCGGTGCTCCTATGAGGATCTAATGCCCGATGATCTGAGATGGTGCTGAAGCAGTGATGCTCGTGCTGGGGAGCGGCTGCAAAGACAGATGAAGCTTTGCTAGCTCGCCCACCACTCATCTCCTGCTGTGCGGGCCACT